TTTAAAAAGACGAGAAACGACTCTTAGCTCATCGTATTTTTGCGACTGGAGTACAATTCAAAAGGGTAAAAGGACAAATTAGACAAGACTAACTTTATTGTTCATACTCCAATAAACATAACATTTGCAAATCTGAGGGCTACTTATTTATCTATTTTCCATTCAATTCAATAAATTCTTATTTCCTTCACAAAACCAAAATGAAAATGTCTCTCAATTATTCTTTTTCAGTAACAGTAGAACAAAAATATTGTGTATATAGGCTTTAATCTAGTAATGGCCTAATTGAGGAATCGAAAATTTAATTTTCTGATGACCTTGATTAATTTGTCCTTTTACCAAGTAACCACTGTGAAAATTTATGTGACATTTTGTTTTTAAATGAATTGCATTTAAATGTGAAATTTGAACTGCCGTGCAAAGAGCCCCTGAAATCACAAAATTGGGTCAAATTTGTCGACCTGGTTGGAAATGGAAAAATGACCATAAATGGTGGATCATTTCTTATACGTGTACATGTAATTCATCAGTCATAATGCATTATAATTCATTATAAAGGTTTTAATAATGCTATTTGTTGGCAACTCCCATTTTCGGGCCTTATTTTGTAACTTGTGCATCGACAAAAATAAGAGAAAACACAGCAAACTAATTAATGTCATGGAGGGAATGCTGAATTCTACTAGTGATTTTGTTACCAAATTGACCAATTTAGTTAACATCAGGACATGTATGGGGCAACATTTGATGAGTTTCCTGATAACAATTCTTAATGTAATCGAATTCCTGATTGGTATTGTAGATATTTTTGTGAATTTGTTACATTTTTCTCATGTCATAGCCATAAATGATATCGCCATCCGAAAATTTAAGAATGTGCATTCTTCTGTAAGTCTTTTTTTTACTAAAATTTGTGACAATGAGTCCGCCAGTTGCAGGGTTCAGAGATTTAAATATCCCAACATTAAACATGTTAAATGATGTAGAGTCAGCATTGCTAATGATGATCTCGATTTGTAGAGGTGAGTGCCCTCTCCCCCATCCTCCAAAAGAAATAAATGCAATAAAACAAGAAAAACAGCTCACAGAATGCAAAATAGCCCATACGTTATTCCATAATTATTTTGCTTGATTAGGTATCGGGCTCCAGACCTATGTCATTGTGCGGTAAATCTAGTAGATTATGTGCCACCTTGTTAACAAAAAACAACGAACTGCCTTTTTTGAAAAACACATACCAGCCTGACATGTTTATACTTTCGGAAAGGCTGAAAATATATGATCTAGTTACCTGACTGATTCCAGGAATACAGTATTGTCTGTACTTTGTTAGGAGCAGTGACTAATGCACAGTGAGGTATTATCAGCTTTGCCGGTTTCTTAAAGCGTAGTCCAGACGGGTAACACTGGAAGCCATGGCTGACTAGAAGTTCGTCCTCTTTTAGTGTGAGGCCATTTGGAATCTCGGTCAGTACATGAAGGCTGATTTTCTCATCTTCCTCAAGGGCACCAGGTGGAATGTGGAGTGTAAACCCATGGGATTTGGTAGACAGCTTTCCTCCAAGGGCCCCAAAATTTCCAGTTGCAGATCTACTATCTGATATTAAACAGCAATGCAAATATTTGTATTAACAGAATGCTATTCAATAAATATATATTATACCAGCTCTGACGTCACAGGTGACAATCTCCTGCCAGGGATACAGTGCATGTACATATGAACTTGTAGTCTTATTTCCCAAACTCACTTCATTTTTAGTTGTATTTGCAAAAAATAACAACGTCAAGAGGATACAGTGAAAGACCAAATAAATAAACGATTTGATGTTAAAAAAAGACAATATACGGTTACTATTAAAAAATTGTGTTGTTAATATATTAATGTTTTTTAACCGTTGATCTGACGCCGGTCCGGAAATTCTTGTCGGTGACCTCAGATATAACTTATATATTTTTCTGACAGAACAAGGTATATTTACCTCAAAATGAGGGATTCGTTGATTCATCTTGAATCAACGAATCCCTCATTTTGAGGTAAATATACCTTGTTCTTTTTTTTGTCAGAAAAATATTCACCTGCCTCAGATGCATAAATGTATCTCACCTAAGGCGTGGTTTATTGGTTTTACGCTGTCTGTTCTATCACTTTGCACCATTTCCAGAAGGTTCTTCTCGGTCTCCGTAGTTACTCTGTCGTAAACAAACATAAAAACAAAACAAACAAACAAACCTTATACAGTTGACAGCTAGATCATCCATGACCCTAGTAAATTTGATGTATTTGGTGTCTTTATTGTAACCCAATAATGAAAGATGGACTGGTTGAATACCTTGAGTTTTTATATATCATATTCTCGAGAAACATAAATGATATTTAACATACTTCAATGATGACAAAACTTGGTAAAGGTATGGAAAATTTAGTTTTTAACTTACTGTACATTGGATTACGTTGAAGGTCATGTACCCATTAACGTGTAGCGAATTATATTTCAATTAGCGGAAACCCCGCCCGTGACCCCGTTCCAGATAAGTACATTCCCATGAATCAAATTCAATTCAATTCAACTGTTGCTAACACGTAGCTGCTACTTTACTGATTTAATAATAATAATGACAATAATAGTAATTATAATAATAATAATAATAATAATAATAATAATAATAATAATAATAATAATAATAATATGGGTCTATATGGCCTTCTTATGTCGACGATGCCTCTACGCGCTTTACAGATAGGCCTAGGGGGCAAAACCCCAATTCGATTGGTTTTGTAAAAATGTTGTAAAACGTTGTTGGGTATCCGTGTTCAGGGCACCTCCCCGCACAATTCCTATTTGGACTACCTTAAATATATACTTCTGGAAAAAAAATGGCAGGCAATTTACAAAATGGCCACCATGTATAACTACTGTTGGAATATGTTGGAGATTGTTTTTGACAGAACTGCATTTTACCATGTTTGAGATCTCATAAGATAATTACATTACCTGCAAGATGATATCACATTCGATAAGTTTTTACATGATTTAGAGCCAAAATCAAAATTGCACCAAAATACCTATTTCTCCATAATTACGCTTCGTTGTACCTTTCTCGACTCATAATCATTGTCTGGATTCAGTCCCCCCCCCCCCCCTTTCCCTCCTGCGCATGGCGCGGAAGCTTTGACGTATTATAGGATTTCCCGGCCAAATTCGCGAGTTTGTCATTCAAATGAATTTGTCTTGCGTTCAAATTCGACAGTTTTAGTGCAGTCAGGTATATCTCGGGTATATATTCCCTTTTCTAGTTTTCAAATCTATGGAATTTTCGTTAGAATCTACGTATGTTTCATTCAAATTAATAAAAAATGTGCTTCTTTCGCTATTTGGTCATTTGATTTGGCGCAAAACGATTTTCTGACAACGCGACGGTGTACTTCTAGCATTCTAATTCATTTGTAACATTAAAATTAGCACTTTGTGCACTTAAATTGATTACACACTTTTTATAGCTCATTCTTTTTCTTTCAAGATTGTTTTTTTTCATGTGTATTTCATCATATTTCATTTTCTTGCATTTATACACTTATACTTATTAGATATTTCTGATATTCATCAGCATTTAAGTTTGATTGTTAAGAAGAAAAAAGCGACTTGCATCTACGGACCTGACGGTCTCAGTATATTTGTAAATGATCATGTAGGGAAGTTTTTTGTCTTATGTTTCATCATAAATTTATCATAATTTCATCATAATTTCATTATGGAAGAAGGGTACAATATTGTGACTGGAGTAGGAACTAGAGTCAACAATTTGAACATGATTCATTATTTAGCCATGTCTTTAGCCATCGATCTGCTGGCGGGCAAGTAAACTATGAAACTCTTTAAGAAAACAGAGGGGTGTGCTTGGTATAAGAGACAATGTGAATTACTTTTGTAAAATTCCGAGTCTGTAGTAAAAAGGGGGGCGATTGAGGGTACCCCACCTTTCCCGGGTATATGAACATGTCCGTGCAGAAATGCCATATCCCTTGATTTCGCCCCTTCTTTACTTTATGTCTGACTACACCCATCTGCATTGTCCTGAAAATAAATAAATGGAATAACAGCTTAGACCCCAACGGCAAATCTTGAATTTTAACTGCATTATTTAAAAACTGTAAAAGTTTGTTGCAATTCTTCCCCCCTAACATTCCTAACTTTAATAAAAAATATTACGAATACGAATGACAGGTGTTAATTTGAATGATAAAATTTACGCTTCGACAAGTGAATATTAATTTGAATGCTAGTTGAGCAGTTTCTAAATTGAATGACAGCTCTTTGAATCCCTTCGACCGAAATCCTAAATTAAATACAAAAACTGGAAAATTGAATGATAATTGGCATGGCAAAGCCGATCTGCGCTTACTTAAACGCAAAGTAAATGAATTCGAATGACAAACACGCGAATTTGGCCGGGAAATCCTATATCAGACAAAGAAGACGATTCGTTGTACCTTTCTCGACTTAAACCTTATCTGTATTCAGTCCCTCCCCCCCCCCCCCCCACCTCCCGCGAGAAGCTTTGACGTTTCATTAAATTATTAGAGAAAGAAGACGACTCGTAACGTACTCGACTCCTTTTCCCTTTTTCTTCCTACGTCCTCTTACTTTTTTCTTCTCTTTCTCTCTCTTTTTTTGTTTTGGCCGGCGATTTTATTTTTTATTTTTTATTTTTTATTTTTTTATTTTTTTTGGGGGGGGGGGTGGGGCGACAGCCTCCACCCCCCCCCCCCCCCCCTGGCCACGCGCCTGCCCGAACAAAGTAATTGTCACAAAATATGTACAATTTATAGTCAACTGTTAAGATTTGCAATGAGGTTAGACTTTCTAATTTAAAAAAATCAATTCTTTTACCAAATCTCAAAAGTGGGAGATGAACAAATGCATTCTTTCTTTGGGGCTTTGATAAATCGTTTGTTTTACAACTGGCAGGGACAACATGTTATTCTTTTAGACTTGAATGTATCACCTCGACAAAATCATCTGTTTGACCACTTCGTCCTTGGCATATTGGATTGCTAGGTTGCCTGTCGTGTCCCTCACATCTAACTTTGCTCCATTCTCTAGGAGATAAAACACCAATGCCTTCTCAGGAGAAAGTTCGCCCTTGTAATACTCATCAGAGATCTGAAACATAAAAACATATTTACTTTTTTATTAGAATTGTCCATCAATAGCAAGGGTGGATGAACAAAGTGTAATACTGCCTCTTGGATTCACAGTATTGGAAATCCCTATTAAAATTGTGAATTTACCCATACACACAATCACACGCCCAGACACTAACTTTTTCTTTGACAAATCACGGGTATCAGATTCAAGGATTCCCTAAAGAATTAGAGGAGCAGCATTATGTCAGTTACACTGCCATAGCGACTCCATGTAGACTCCGAAACTGACCATTATTTTGCAAGAATATAATTTGTTGCTTATAGACTCTCGTTTGTCTGGTGTTGGTCTCATTGGGGTTTCTGGGGTATGACTCACCTTTCTCAGTGTGTCCGTTTCTTGCACAATTTTCTCGCTGTTGTAGCAGAGTTTAATGGCTGTATGGAGACACTGCTGTCCGTCAGGTGACTGGATATTAAGATCAGCTCCCTCAGAAACTAACTTCTCAATAGTAGAGGTGTGACCGTGAAGGATAGCAAGATGGATATCCGTTAAATCATTATGTTCGAGCTGGATATGAGAAAATAAGCAGCATAAAAACTTGAGAATAACAAGTAAATATTAAGTATTGACAACCAATGATTCGAGTACTTGTAACTTAGCTATGAATAGACCCCGATCTCATTCACTTCGGTCTAACTGTGAGTGTGAACAGACAAGCGGTCCAGGAAGCGATCTTCTGGACCGGTTTGCTTCCTAGATCGATCGCCCTAAACCGATTTAGCGTGCAGTGTGAACATAAACCGTGCCAGGAAGCGATCTTTAGCCGGAAGTGAGTGTGTTTGGGTGGGAAAGAAATGAAAGAGAGGAAGAGATTACTGTACAAGAATAAAAACATATAAATATATAAGGAGAGATAGAGAGAAAATGATAGAATGATAAAAAGAAAGAATAACATAAGAGGAGGTGATAGAAAAAAGAAACGAAGATGGCGTAAGGAAAGATAGGGAGAGAAAATAATAGAATAATAAAAACAATGAATAACATAAAAGGAGTTGAAGGAAAAACAAAACATTAACATCAGAGAAGGTGAAGGAAGAAACAAAGAATAACTTATGGAAAGACAGAAAGAGAAAGTGATAGAATTATAAAAAAAACAAGGAATAACGTAAGACAATGTGGAGACGAAGAATAACATAAGAAAAGGTGACAGAAGGAAGAATCAAATGATCGCGTAAGAATAGAGAGGAAGAGGAAAAAACAGAATAATAAAACGAAGAATAACATAAGAGAAGGTGATAGAAGGAAGTAACGAATAATAACATAAGGAAAGACAGAAAGAGAAATTGATAGAATGATAAAAACAAAGAATAACATAAGAGAAGGTGATAAAAGGAAAAAACAAAGAATAACATAAGGAATGGTGTAGAAAGAAAATGATAGAACGATCAAAACAAAGAATTCCATAAGAAAAGGTGGTAGAAGGAATAAACAAAAAATAACATGAGGAAAGATAGAAAGATAAAATGATAGAATGATAACAACAAACAATAACAAGAAAAACAGAAAGACAAATATGAAAGGAAAACAAAGAATAATATAAGAAGTGAAAAAAGGAAAAACTTAAGCCTACATGAGGAAAGACAGAAAGAGAAAAAGAAAAATAGACAAAAAATGATAGAATGATAAAGAAAATATGAGGCACTCTTCTCGGTTTTAGAGTCCAACCGTCCATTTCTCCTTTATTCACCTTAGCTCCTTGACTGATCAGATATTTGGTGACATCAAGGTGACCCTTCCCAGCAGTGAGGTGTAATGAAGTCCTTCTCACGTTATTTCCCTTAGTAACCTCAACCTCTTGGCTGGTGAGATATTTCGTGACATCAAGATGACCCTCCTGAGCAGCAAGGTTTAATGCAGTCCGACCGTCATTATCTACCTTATTCACCTCAGCTCCTTGACTGATCAGATATTTGGTGACATCAAGATGACCCTTCCCAGCAGCAAAGTGTAATGGAGTCCACCCGTTACCCTTTCCCCTATTCACCTCAGCTCCTTGGCTTATCAGATATTTGGTGACATCAAGGTAGCCATTCCAAGCAGAACTGTGTAATGAAGTCCAAACTTTATTACTTCCCCTATTCACCTCAGCTCCTTGACTGATCAGATATTTGGTGACATCAAGATGACCATTGAAAGCAGCACTGTTTAATGCAGTCCCACCGTCATTATCTCCCATATTCACCTCAGCTCCTTGACTGATCAGATATTTGGTGACGTCAAGATGACCCTTCCGAGCAGCAAAGTGTAATGGAGTCAAACCGTTACCCTTTCCCCTATTCACCTCAGCTCCTTGGCTTATCAGATATTTGGTGACATCAAGGTAGCCATTCCAAGCAGAACTGTGTAATGAAGTCCAAACTTTATTACTTCCCCTATTCACCTCAGCTCCTTGACTGATCAGATATTTGGTGACATCAAGATGACCATTGAAAGCAGCACTGTTTAATGCAGTCCCACCGTCATTATCTCCCATATTCACCTCAGCTCCTTGACTGATCAGATATTTGGTGACGTCAAGATGACCCTTCCGAGCAGCAAAGTGTAATGGAGTCAAACCGTTACCCTTTCCCCTATTCACCACAGCTCCTTGGCTGATCAGATATTTGGTGACATCAAGGTGGCCATTCCAAGCAGAACTGTGTAATGAAGTCCAAACTTTATTACTTCCCCTATTCACCTCAGCTCCTTGACTGATCAGATATTTGGTGACATCAAGATGACCATTGAAAGCAGCACTGTTTAATGCAGTCCCACCGTCATTATCTCCCATATTCACCTCAGCTCCTTGACTGATCAGATATTTGGTGACGTCAAGATGACCCTTCCGAGCAGCAAAGTGTAATGGAGTCAAACCGTTACCCTTTCCCCTATTCACCACAGCTCCTTGGCTGATCAGGTATTCAGTGACATCAAGATGACCATTGAAAGCAGCAATGTTCAATGCCGTCGAACCCTCATTACTTCTCCTATTCACCTCAGCTCCTTGACTGATCAGGTATTCGGTGACATCAAGATGTCCATTAAAAGCAGCACTGTTTAATGCAGTCCAACCGTCATTATCTCCCCTATTCACCTCAGCTCCTTGACTGATCAGGTATTCGGTGACATCAAGATGATCATTGAAAGCAGCACCGTGTAATGCAGTCACCCCCGCCTTATTTCCCCTATTCACCTCAGCTCCTTGACTGATCAGATATTTGGTGACATCAAGATGACCATTCTGAGTAGCACTGCGTAATACAGTCCAACCGTCATTACTTCCCCTATTCACCTCAGCTCGTTGACCTATGAGATATTTGATGACATCAAGATGTCCATTCAAAGCAGCACAGTTTAATGCAGTCCAACCCTCATTACTTCTCATATTCACCTCAGCTCCTTGACTGATCAGGTATTCGGTGACATCAAGATGTCCATTCAAAGCAGCAAAGTTTAAAGCAGTCCAACCCTCATTACTTCCCATAGTCACCTCAGCTCCTTGACTGATCAGGTATTCGGTGACATCAAGATGACCTTTGAAAGCAGCACCGTGTAATGCAGTCCAACCCTCATTACTTCCCCTATTCACCTCAGCTCCTTGGCTGATCAGGTATTCAGTGACATCAAGATGACCATTGAAAGCAGCAATGTTCAATGCAGTCCAACCCTCATTACTTCCCATAGTCACCTCAGCTCCTTGGCTGATCAGGTATTCAGTGACATCAAGATGACCATTGAAAGCAGCACTGTGTAATACAGTCCAACCATTATTACTTCCCTTATTTACATCAGCTCCTTGACTGATGAGAAATTTGATGACATCAAGATGTCCATTGAAAGCAGCACTGCGTAATGCAGTCCTTCCATCGTTGTTTCCCCCATTCACCTCAGCTCCTTGACTGATGATATATTTGGTGACATCAAGATGACCTTTGCAAGCAGCACTGTTTAATGCAGTCCAACCCTCATTACTTCCCCTATTCACCTCAGCTCCTTGGCTGATGAGATATTTGGTGACATCAAGATGACCATTTGAGGCAGAACTGTTTAATGCAGTCCAACCGTCATTATCTCCCCTTTTCACCTCAGCTCCTTTACTGATAAGATATTTGGTGACATCAAGATGACCATTCTGAGCAGCACTGTGTAATACAGTCCAACCATTATTACTTCCCTTATTTACATCAGCTCCTTGACCTATGAGATATTTGATGACATCAAGATGACCTTTCAGAGAGGCACCGCATAAAGCAGTCCTACCCGCCTTATTTCCCCTATTCACCTCAGCTCCTTGACTGATCAGATATTTGGTGACATTAAGATGACCATTCTGAGCAGCACTGTTTAATGCAGTCCAACCGTCATTATCTCCCATATTCACCTCAGCTCCTTGACTGATCAGATACTTGGTGACATCAAGATGACCATTCTGAGCAGCACTATTTAATGCAGTCCAACCGTCATTATCTCCCATATTCACCTCAGCTCCTTGACTGATCAGATATTTGGTGACATCAAGATGACCATTCAGAGAAGCACCGCATAATGCAGTCCTACCCGCCTTATCTCCCATAATCACCTCAGCTCCTTGACTGATCAGATATTTGGTGACATCAAGATGACCATTCTGAGCAGCAAGGTTTAATGCAGTCCAACCGTCATTGTCTCCCTTATTCACCTCAGCTCCTTTACTGATGAGATATTTGGTGACATCAAGATGACCCTTCCCAGCAGCAAAGTGTAATGAAGTCCAACCGTAATTATTATCCTTATTCACCTCAGCTCCTTGACTGATCAGATATTTAACTATTTTAAGATGACCATTCCTAGCAGCACTGTTTAATGCAGTCCTTCCGTCATTATTCCCCTTATTCACCTCAGCTCCTTGACTGATTAGATATTTGGTGACATTAAGATGACCATTGAAAGCAGCACTGTTTAATGCAGTCCCACCGTCATTATCTCCCATATTCACCTCAGCTCCTTGACTGATCAGATATTTGGTGACGTCAAGATGACCCTTCCGAGCAGCAAAGTGTAATGGAGTCAAACCGTTACCCTTTCCCCTATTCACCTCAGCTCCTTGACTGATCAGATATTTGGTGACATCAAGATGACCATTCTGAGCAGCACTATTTAATGCAGTCCAGCCGTCATTATCTCCCATAATCACCTCAGCTCCTTGACTGATCAGGTATTCGGTGACATCAAGATGATCATTGAAAGCAGCACCGTGTAATGCAGTCCTTCCGTCATTATTCCCCTTATTCACCTCAGCTCCTTGACTGATTAGATGTTTGGTGACATTAAGCTGACCATTCCAAGCAGCAAGGAGTAATGCAGTCCAACCGTCATTATCTCCCTTATTCACCTCAGCTCCTTTACTGATGAGATATTTAACTATTTTAAGATGACCATTCTGAGCAGCACTATTTAATGCAGTCCAACCGTCATTATCTCCCTTATTCACCTCAGCTCCTTTACTGATGAGATATTTAACTATTTTAAGATGACCATTCCTAGCAGCACTGTTTAATGCAGTCCTTCCGTCATTACCCCCCTTATTCACCTCAGCTCCTTGACTGATTAGATTTTTGGTGACATCAAGATGACCATTCTGAGCAGCACGGTGTAATGCAGTCCAACCGTCATTATCTCCCTTATTCACCTCAGCTCCTTTACTGATGAGATATTTGGTGACATCAAGATGACCCTTTCCAGCAGCAAAGTGTAATGAAGTCCTTCCGTTATTATCCCCCTTGTTCACCTCAGCTCCTTGACTGATCAGGTATTTCACTATTTTAATTCGGCCACTGAAAGCAGCACTGTGTAATGCCGTCTTACCTTCATTATTTCCCTTATTCACCATAGCTCCTTTACTGATCAGATATTTGGTGACATCAAGGTGACCATTCCTTACAGCGCTGTGTAATGCAGAGTGGCCGTCCTTGTCTTCTTTCTCCATATTAGCTCCATGACTGAGTATGATTTTCGATGCTTTAAGACGTCCGAGTAATGCAGCAAGATGTAAGGGTGTTTGTCCATCTGGAGTCGCCTTCTCAACATCAGCACCTTGGTTTATGAGATACTCAGTGACGGTTCTACGGTCTTTCTTCACCGCGTTATGTAAACTTGTGTTTCCATCTGGGTCCGTCTGGTTTAAGTTGGAACCCTGTTGTAGCAGTTTTGTAACGCTTTTGATTTTACCCCTCGAGGCTGCCTCATGAAGCTGTTGATTCAAGTCATCCATACTTAAAGAAGCACCGGTGTACCAGACATCCTAATCTAGCACAGTTTTTGTAATCGTCTACTTATCTCATTACGCTCGACTACGATATGTTGCGATTAAGAATCTAAACCTTTCGTAGCAGATAGTCCGGTTGCACTTTGCATGTTAAGAGCATAAATATACTCTATACTGATTTTTTTTTTTTTTTTACAAATTCATAACCGCAATGTGCCATTGTCATTTTGTTTTCGTTTTCAACAAGTTCCAAAGTCCTGTGCAGTGAACTAAATCGTAATGCAAATCTCTGTCATTCCCGTTCCATTGTTTGGCTTCTCTCCTTTCTTTCCTCTTTTTCATCAACAATCAGCAATCACCAACATTTCGATAAATGTATAGTGAGTGCATTTCTCACTCCTTCCTTCCCTTTCCCTCTAAAATAAAGGGTTGAAACGTTTGTTCTATTCGTCTTTTCACGGAAACATAAATTTATATTCTAAGTAGGGAAATGTTTTATGACTCAACTCTTAATATAGAAGCAAAATTTTACCCCCTACTGATGTATCTTACTACAAAATACTTAGAATATTAACTATGCGTTGAGGACGCTGATTCGTATCCTTTAATAGTTGAATTACTCATGAAAAAGCAAATACTAACTCTGACTATGGCACTAGGTATGGTAATGATAATGCGGTGAAGGTGAGGACAAAAATCCGACAAAAGCTAATCATTCTTGTAATATTATCGATGACGACGACGACGATGATGATGTGTTCAGTATTTTAATGATTATGGTGATCACAGTAATGGAGGGGAAGATGATGATGGTGAATTATTTCCAGTCAACAGTCTTTATCCATCGCATTGCAGTCCATGGAGAGTGCATGTCTTAGCAAAATACATTTTTACGAATTCTTCTTTATTGAAGTCCCGGTTAAAGAGAAAGTTGAGTTCTGGGAAGAGGTGAAAAATAAATTGTGAGCGTTATCATTCTTATAATGGAAATGTGGAAGAACATCAGCTAAGACATGTTCCCTGAAAAGCATGGCTCTTCAAATGCCTTCATATTCTAAATATGTCATGTTACTCGTAAAACTCGGGGGTAGGTTTTTTACGACACGTGTTCGTGTAGTCCCATATACATCTTTCTGTGTACAGTGTTTGTAACTTTACCAAGGCTTGGCCAAATTTCTTATCATTTTGATGATTCCAGAACCTTGCAATACACATGAATACTTATATACTAGATGATCAACCTTTTCTGGTCGATTTCACACCGTTTCTTTCACAATACAATCGCATGACCAGAACTCAACTTCATCTTTAAAAAGAAATCAACACGCGTAGTGCCCTTGGGTAATATATTAATTCCCAGTTACAGCCTAGGTCGCCTGGAAAGCTTTTCTGAGAACATTAAACTGCTTTGTTGGACTGAGGTACACATGAATTTGTCAATATATATCAATATTTACCACGGTGCATAGTTATATCGAATGGATAAAGCAAGGAAAGTGACAGTATTGTTTAAAAGATATATCCAAGATACAACCAATCCCCCCCCCCCCCCCTCGGACGGAAAGGCAAAATATATATTGTGCTCACTGTTAAGTTCTGTAGTTAATAAAGAAATTTGGCAAGTGATTTTTGAATTTTGGCCTAGTCAGAATAATACACGCCTTTTCTCTTTGCCAGATCCCGATATATTCAGCTATACATTTGATTATTTCCCGTTTACATGATGTTTTTTGCAAGGGTTACCGTATTTTATTATCTTTGATTCCATCATGAAAGGAAAATATGTACATTGTTTGAAAAGAGTGCAAAACTCCTTTCAAGTCTGTTGTAGATCAATTGATTTTTTTGCATGATTGGATGTGATTTCATGCACAGTTTAGTGATTATAAGCCATACAGTGCCATTAAAGCACTTTTATAAAGACACTCCACATAAATCCCGTACAGTATTTTGCTCAGTATTCTCAGAGTTAATTTTCTTTGGAAATCCCCTTTTGATCTGATGGCGCCAGCTTTGGGCATCGCTTCAAAAACTAAAGTGGGTGAAATTGTGCATGTCTACATTCCATAAAAAAAACTCTTTGTTAATCAGTTTGTGACAAAATAGAATTCACAAAGTAAAAGAGACTTCCAGGCTGATCCCTTTACAACTAGCCGAACGAAGTATTGAACTTTATCGTTTCAAAAGAAAAACATTGTCTTTAAAGGTGGAATAAAATGTAGAGAGGGATGAAGCAAACACAGGAGGTTTTAAAATTCGATATGCTCAACCAAATATGCCAATTATAAATATGAACAATTGAGGAACAATTGCAGGGGCGGTTATCCCGAGGGGAAGGGGGGGACACGTCCCCCCTCAATTTTTGTTTAGGGTGGATCGTACACCCCCCCCCCCACCTCCCGGAGAAGTTGAAAAAATAGCAAATACTGACTAAAGACTGCAACAAACTTTTAGGCTCAGGAGGGTCCAAGAGTGCAAGGGGGCTTGGTGGGCAGTTTCCCCCTAATATGATTCAATCGTGGTTTATTTTTAATTCGATACCAGTGATTTAAAAATATAGCTGGAATGACATGGTTTATCCCTGAGATTCCGGGGGCTCTGGACCGTACCAGGGCCCTATAAGGCGGGTCCCTGAATGCTCATCTGAACGTAGTTTTCTTGCCTAAAACAACCTGAGCTCCGGGGGGCTTTGCCCACTGGACCCCACAAAGGGCCCTAGGGCAACCCCTGGATGCTCATCTGACCGTTGTTTAAATGTCTAAAACCCCTGAGCTTCAAGGGACTATGCCCCCTGACCCCGTTGTGGCTTTACACATGGACCCCACGCCAATTTACGTTTCACTAGCTTCTCTCGCTTTGCTGATACCTGGTAAATACTTTAGCCCCCCCCCCCCCCCCCTCTCCCACTTTGAAAAACGGTCCGCGGGGCCTGAATGTAACATGTAAGAGTGGTGATGCGGGGTTTTTCTGCCCCCCCCCCCCAAATGTTTTTTGCTCATTACACCACTGCTCCCTCGTCAGCCGCATTTCGTAACCCCCCCCCCCCCCCCCCCCTCCGTCATGAAAAGAAATCGCCGCCCCTGATGACATGACATCAACGTTTGACAGTAACCGTGATAAAGGTTAATATAATAATAATAATAATAATATGGATATTTATATAGCGCCGGTATCCGCCAGGCTCTGACGCTCATGGCGCTGTACATACATGTATTACTATCACAAAAATATAACATTCTTAACTAAAATAAAGTAAACTAAAACAACACAAATTATTACGCTACATTGACATGATTAAATAGCACTGTTTAGAAAGAGATGGGTTTTTAGAGCAACTTTGAAGGCATGAAGGGTAGTTAGATTACGAATACTAAGTGGCAGCTTATTCCAAAGGGACGGACCAGAATGAGAAAAAGCTCTATCCCCCCAGGAACTGCGCGTCTTAGGGACAACTAATAAGGAGGATTGAGATGAACGAAGACGTCTTGTAGGCTTATACTTAACAATCAACTTGATATTGTAGGAAGGAGCAGAGTCATACAATGAATGGAAAACTAACAACAACAACTTAAAAATGATTCGGTCACATACCGGGAGCCAGTGAAGAGTTTTGAGAATGGGGGTGATGTGGGTTCTACGAGAAGAAAGTGTGACAATACGTGCAGCAGTATTTTGCAGTTTCTGAAGTCGAGAAAGTTGTGTGTTAGGGAGTAGATAGAGAATAGAATTACAGAAATCTAAGCGTGATGAAATAAGAGCATGTACAAGTTTCTCTGTGGTTGAACGACTTAAGTATTTCCTAATAAAACCTAGATTTCTTAGATTTCTTAGTTGATATCTGACTGACTTACAATATATTTTAGGTCTCAATCAATATGTGTGTGCGTGTGTGTGTGCGTGGGTTTAGGTGTGTACATATCTGTGTATTTTGATATCCATTTATTATCTTTCTAATTTGATCTATATGGTTTTCTCGCTCCTCATGCATCTCAGTCCTCCGTTCTGGCACACTGCCATCTATGTTCTTTGTATATACATGTATTTTCTCAGTGGCGTATTCCCAGATCCTCCTAATTCCAGGGCGGGTGGGTTTATGTACCCATCGCAAGTTTTATTGATTTGTCATAGTCTTCAGTCGAGGGGACATATTATAAAGGCTTCAACCCTTCGCTAGAAACGCCATTGTTTCCCTGCTTCACTCCTCTTTTTCTATACTCTCTCGTCTCCCTTTCTATACCTCCCCTCCCTCTCTCTTATGTTTTCTATATTTCTATTCCTCTTCCTTTCATCTTTCTCTTTAGTTTTTACACTCTCTTCTTTCGCCTCTTTTTTTTCTTCTTACACTCTCCGTAGCTCTCTTCCTGTTTCTCCCTTTGCTCTCTGCCTTTCTTTTCATACTTCTCTGACCCTTTCTCCCCTCTTTTTTCTCCCCCTTTTGGTTTACACCTCCTTATTTCTCCTCCTTTATACCTCTCTTCTCTCTTCCTTTCGTTCTCTCTGTTTCATTTTTCTTTCTCTCTTTTCCTCTCTTTCTTGAACTCTCTTTCTTCACTTTCCGTAGTTTATCATATACCCTCTCTTACTGGAAATACAACCTCAAATGTCTTCATGACGACATTTAAAACTAATTAAATAACGGCATTATAAGGAACAGAAAAGCGATTGATTACGACACTATGTGATCCTTCAAGTGAGAAGTACCTGACATATTTTAATACATGAAAATAACTTCCTATTCCGTGAAAGGGTGATTTAAAGGAGAGATCTATCTCACTGTAAATGTACAGTGAATGAATAAAAGGTACAACTGTATATACATACAGGTATCTCTTTGCACATTGTAAGTCTCTGTTTGAGCAAGGAGCTGTCCAAGAGCGTCAAGTCTTGTCAGCAATGTACTTGTTCAATAGATGTGACGGCTGAAGGGGTACTATTTGCAAACATGGATAACTGTCTGTTGTGTTGATGTGTTAAATATAAACATCATGCTCAGTGGAGTTTGCCTT